AAGAAGGTACAATTTTTCCTTATTTTGATTTATTATTTTTTTAAATAAATTAATTTCTAAGCATTTTAATTAGGTAATAAAAGAATTGATACTAAAGTATACCGAACGCGCACAAGATTATACACCAGAAGATGTCAAAGCTGAATTACAAGATATTGCACAGGAATATAAAAAAATCGTCGACAAAAATGAAATTTATGGTAAAAAGTCGATTTTATTATTTATTTCCTAAAATATTGAGCAAAGAAAAATATAAGTTGTAAATCAGAAATTATGCAATTAACCCTTTCAACTCGCGAATTGCGAGATTTGTATGTATTTTGCCGCCGGAGCGACGGCATCTGAGTGGAAATTTAAATAATAATAATTCAGAGGTTCATTATTCTGAATTATTGTCGGTAAACTTTATGATTATTATTGATTTATATATAATAAAATATTTCATTAATATGTTAATATTACAAATTTGTTTTTTTTAGTAATATGTTCTTTTTAATGAACTCATATTTCCATTGATATGGTAAATAAATTTAATTCTAGGAGAAGATATTGCACAAGACACCGATGAAGAATATGGAGAAGATGATGATGATACGACCATGAAATTATCAGAACATAGAAGACTGGGAGACACTGCATTTTTTTGTCCAGTTGTTTTGCATGAGCATAAAGTTCTATGGAGAGGCAAGCAACAATTTCTAGCTAGGTAAAAACTAAGTGATTTACAAGTAATATTGAAAATATATAGACTATTTTAAAAATATTTGAAACACTCTCAAAGATATCAAGGAAAAATTTACATGATGTCGTCTGAGGAATCAAAACAAAAGTTTTTAGCTCGTCCGGAAATCTACGCAACAAATAAAAAAGCACCAACAAAACCTTTGCCTCTAAGAGTTGTAGTGACTGGAACTGTAGGTATTTTACACCAATTTGGTATTTCATAAACTTCATTTTTATATTTAGTAACTAAAATGTATTATTATATAGGTAGTGCTAGAAATCATATTAAAAAAGAAATTGCACATAATTTTGGATATCACAATGTAGATTATATTGAACAAATAAATGATATATTTATGCCTACACCCCGAATAGGCAGAAGATATATAAAATGGTTTAAGGAACCTGAATATGTCGAAGAAGGTATTAAAACATCAATTGTTCTTTCTATTCATTTTATACCTATTTAATCTAATCATTACTACATAACATTGTTTTTCAGAACCAGACGCAACTTATAATATGATCCAGGATTACCTAACCGGAAAATTGAATGAAGAAGAAGCTGATACTTTTACAAGAAAATGCTTCGACCCTCTGTGGCATTATCCTCCACTATCAACAAGTACCGGCCTTGTATTGGCTGCCAATCTTAACGGGCTCATGACCAAGCAAATGATCAGAAGATATGATGTGCCGGATGTGGTTGTCGAGGTATGTTTTTAAGACAATTTTTAAGTTTTTCAAAATAATTGCTTATTTATACCAAACATCAGACTATAAATCTTATTTATAAATTCAAATATAATAAGCCCTAATGCATACTGCCACTATTTTATAAATTGAAAATTTTATAATATAAAAAAATATTTATTTTTCTTAGTCAAGCGTATATGATTTGAATAAAGAAAACTTGGATTATGTTGAATCCTTCAAAGCATTCATGTCAAAATGGAAGAAAGGAAAAGGTAAGAAGATTGAAGAGCGAAGAAAACAAAATGAAGAATCATATATCACGTGGCTTGAACAAAGGGATAAAAAATTTGATGAGGAATTTTTTAGAGTAATATCTATCGACCTGATAACTTAACAATTTAACATAAGTAAAACAAGAATATTTTTAGTTAAGAAGCCAGCATTATAGAGAGTACCTTGCTTTGCGTGATCGATTATATAATCATCCTCATGAAGTGATCGAGGAACAAAGTTATGAAAGTTTCGGAAATCATTATGAAGATGAGATATTTCCTGATCCACCTTTGCCTTCCCTTACAGAAAGTCAACCCAGAGTTGATGCAACAGGTACATTATATTTTACAGTCCATTATTTAAATTATGCATTTTCATGCATGATCAATTTTTAGAAGATGTTATTTCAAGATCAAGCAATGACATAATAATTTCCTATCCACTCGACATGTCTTATTTACAAGGAGGAGATTCCATATCCCAATATGAAGGCTCTGATATTTTTATTTGGGATGATATAGAACAGATGTGAAAAATATTTATGCTAAATTAGATGCAGCTGAACCAATGCCTGAATTTATAGATGAGATAGATCCTGCCTGGGAGACAGAGGAGGAGGTACCAAACAAAAACCAGAGACAAATTATAAAGATAATAAATAAATTATAAAGATAATAATATGTATATTATATATTGTATTTCTTATATAGGCTAGAGAGAGAATTGGAAATATGTTTGAAGAATGGTTTAATGAAGAAAATGCAGGTATTGCTGAAGCAAGAGAAATCATGGAAGAAGCAGGCATTCCATGGATGAAATTAATATCGTCTGTCAAGGCTCAAAAATCAAACATAGTTAATGATTTTCTACACAGGCTGGAAGATTTTAAATTCCGAAACAAATCTATTTTCGAAAAAACTTATGTGATACCTATGGATAAAGTAGAACTACTTCTTAGACAAGGATATTATTTTCTCAGCAGGTTTGGAAGAACTTGTCCAGTACAACTGTATGAGAATGTAAATCCAATCCAAATGTACTTTCCACTTTTGTATAAAAATGAAACTCACGCAGTTGCGCATAGGCAGTACATTTATTTTATCAATGGTTCTAAAAATTTAGAAAAGTTTAGGAGGCAACCATTGGAATATATTGATACAAATAATTTATGCAGGCCATTATACCCAATAAAATTTGCTGTAATTGGTCCGCCAAAATGTGGTAAAACTACCCTTTGCCGCAGATTCGAGCATGAATTTGCAATAGAAGTCATAAGCAAACCCCAAGCTTTAAATTATGTATTGACTGAGATGCCTGGAGCAAACTGGCATCAAAAGTAAAATTTCAGTTAGGTACGAAACGAGTTGTTGATTCAGAAACTACCATGAAATGTGTCATGGCACAAACAATGACAAAAAAAAGCTTGACACAAGGTTTTATTTTGGATGGCTTTCCCAATAAAATTGAAGAACTTCAAGAATTAGTATCTGGAGATGTTATACCATATTTCATTATAAATTTGTCAGTCAATTTAAATACTGTTTTAGAAAGAAATATACAATGTGCTTGTGACACCATAACTTGTGATTATGATGGTTGGTGTATGGAGCATTGCAGTTTACGTTTGTATTTGAATGAAGAATTCCAAAATTTATACTCCATTGACGGCAACAGATCAAAATGGGACGTTTGGACAGAAGCCAGAGACAAATTATTTCAAGTAATGCAGAGTATACACGACTACTGTTTAAAAATTGCTTTGGACATGCCCGTGAAATTGGAATACATGTGTATTACATCACAAGAATTTGAACAACGACAAAGCACTTATAGAGAATTTTGTCCAGCATGTTATGGTACAAACTGCAGATTGAATTCTGGAGGAAATCCACCTAATCAAACAGGTCTCATCCAGTATCTTGATAAATATTATTGGTTATGTAAAGAACATATTGAAAAGTTCTTGGCAACTCCTAAATATTACACTCCACCATACAACATAACACTTTCCAATGAACTGCCAGTTCAAGTGAATTTGGAAGAAGAGGATGATGCTTTGAAGAAAAAAATTTATGCATCAGGTTACGATATGGTAACACTTATTAAAAGCCAACCTAATTCAATACAAGTAATGGGAAACCCAAAATATGCTGCAAAATATATGGATGGCTTATACCTATTTGAAAATGAAGAAAACCTTAAAACTTTTATGAATGAACCTGACAAATATGCAGAGAACTTTATTAATTTTTTACCGAAGAAACCATTACCACCACTTGACTTGCAGAAGTTACCAAATCTAGGATATTTGCAACAGACACAAACAGAAATCATTATAAAAGCCTTACACGCAGTTGGCAAATTGAAACCCAAATGTCCTGGATTAGATAGTGCAAAAAGTGCTAGTGTTTATATGGCGCTTTATTTTAAAATAAATAATCCTAAAGCTACTAACGAATCCAAAAAAAAATATAAAGAATGTGAAACCATATTTTTTGAAAGGTAATGAATCAAAAATAAATGACAAGATTTTTTCTAAATTAAATGATATATATATATATATATATATATATATATATATATATATATAATTTTCGAATGGGGGCATCCCAGAATAATAGAGAAATATAAAGAAAGAAAAAATATATATCAGTTATAAATTAAAATGATTAATAACTATTTAATGAAAATTATATGTTGTATAAAAGCTAGTATATGAGACTTTTTTTAAAAACAAAGATCATAATTATTGACCTGTTTTAATAATTTACAGATGCAAGTGGCTGAAAGATACTATAAAATTATTCAAAAATAGTATCAATCCTTACATCAAATTACCAAAATATCTTTTAATACAACAAGAAGAAGATGATAGAAAACAACATAGATTTAAACTAATTCAAGATGAATTAAAATATGATACAATAGAAAAAAGGCGTAAAAGAGCTGAAGATTTATTGAAGGATTTGAAAATTAAATACACACCTATTATTAAATTTGGTGTTGATTAAAATTGTATTGTGGATACATAATATAAAAATTTATGAAAACATGAACTTGCAAATATTCTCTAAATTAATAAAAAATGAGAATGGAATGATTATTAATAGCATTCCAATAAATATGTAAAAACTGAACAATATGCTGCAGATTTATGGCTAAGATAGTGCTTGATAGTACTGATAAAATATAATATTTTTAGATAATTTTTATCATTCGTTTTAAATTATTTTTGTTTGCTATATGAATCATAATGCTAAATTTTTAATAAAAACAATATATCATTATATTATAAATAAGATACTTATTTTCATTTGGATCAATTGTGCAAAATGGAAAATTCTCAGCAGCAGCTTGACTTTTGGTCAGCACATTAAAAAAGGTAGATTTTCCTACATTAGGCACACCAACAATTCCAACTCTTAAGTTTGTACCCACTCGACCAATCAATGGTTTTCGTTCAGGTTCTTCTACTTTCTTAGGCGGCATTTTTCTCCTAGAATGTAAACATTTTAAAGAAAGCTGTTCGATTATGATTGCCACATAAGTACTACAAATATTTTTAAATAAATTTTCATTTATTATAAAGTTATAGTAAAAAACAAATTTAATTAAAATATTATTAGTTTAGAACAAACATGTACTATAAACATATGTGGTATAGAATGAAGGTTATGTATATTTAATAAAAAGTATGTGCTTGCTATACAAGTTTAAAACATATCCCTTAACAACCATTTAAAAGGTTTCAATAATACATTTGAAAAATTTTATTAATTTATGTAAACACATGTGTAACGAAAATAGAAGGAAATTCGGCACATACAAAGTTCTAAATATAACCTATCTTTGAACCTATTAAATTTTGTGTTGTTAAGATCAATTACTTTAAGCATAAAAATCATAAATCTCATTATATTCGAAATTTAAAAAAATGATAAAAATTACCTATTATTATTAGTGCACAATTAGTTAATTTATTTAATATTCAAATATGACACATTTCACGAAATTTTCCAACTTCAAAGAAAAGAAAAACTTCCCTAGGCTTCGTGGCTTAATGACATTGTCTTATTTTATTGGGTTGGTACAAATGATGTTAGAGATGCGAATTTCAAAAGTTTTGAAAAGAACAACAATAGTTATTTATATATATTATCTATGGTATCAAGTAATAAAAAAACAAATTTAATTATTTAATAAATTCATTACTTTAAATACGGCCTAAAAGCATGCTTATAGATAAAATATCTCATTTAACAATTACGATTCGTTAGTTAAAAAGTACACAACATCCTCAGTTCTCTTTGGCTGTCAGATTTTCTTATTAAATGCATATCTTGAAAATTATCATAATAGTTACATTTCATGTATTGAAGCAAAAGTGTAAATAAAATTAATAGCTAGTAGCTAAATGTATTAAATGGCTAGCATAGCTGGTGATTCCAATATTTCCCAACAAGATTTAGGTTCTACAAAATCTTCACACAAAAATAATGTTCAAAATCCCGCAAAAAGATTCAAACACGATCATTTGGATAATGTGTTACAAAAATACTTAAAACTTAGGAATTATAATTACAAGGTGTTCGAATTTTACAACTGTAAATATAAATATTTTGATGTTAAATTATTATAACCTCACAGAACTATTACATTTATAGGTAGATAATGGTAAAATAGTTATACCTGATGATGCTTGTTCAGAGAATTCATCAAAGGAATCAACATCTGTATCAAAACTAGTAGCAAACAATAATTCAATAGTTTTCTCATATGTAAACATTGATGCTCATATGCTAGATGTAGTTGATCAAGAGTTTTTCAGGTTTACAACGACAAATAAAATTATTTTGTGCACAATAATAACTATCAATTTCACAGATTGCAGCAATTCATCCATAATTTCAAAAATCCAACTATTAAAGAGGAATTACATTCAATAATACCTGTTATGTTATGTCACTTATATCTGGAAATACTAAAAGGTGTTGATAAAACAACTGCATTAGCTTTTCTTGAAAAACATTCTCCTACTTTTCTTCAATCAGAGCCCACAACTGAGGGACACTATGAACTATTATCTCAATTACGTAGTATTGTCACGGTGCAAGATATTGCCAATCAACCGCTTTTAAATTTATTTAGGTACTAAATGATATATACATTACATATCTGTGTCTTAATTATTTACAATATAAAAGTTGTTGGCTTTTAGATCCAGTAAGCATATCAGCAATATATCACCAGAAACATCGACTGTTTTAAGAAAATATCTTTCAAAACATGGTCACTCTATAATAATCCACATATTAAATAAATGGTTTCACTATGATATTAAACCAGCAGAAATGAAAAAATGTGATGATATTAATATAGGATACATTGAACATGATGGTAATATTTTATAATAGTTTTATATTCGTTTCCATATTATATAAATAAAAAAGGAAACTTGCAGGTCACTCAAAACATTCCATTCAAGACTCATTAGACAGCAGTAATTCTGATGATTTTTCAGAACTGGTGATGAACTTGAAAAAGATTAAATTAACTCGTATTACTAATTTATTAAATGCTGATGGGTAATGACTTTTCAACATTATATATATATATATATATATATATATATATATATATATATATATATATATATGGTACATTTTAGAGTTACATGTGCCGTATCAGACAATGAAACATTAGCAAAAGCAGTAGGCTTAAAAAATTCAGAAATCGTTCTGGTCCGAAATAATTTAGATTTTATTGAACTCGAACAAAATTCACAAGATGAAAGGTTTGTAAATTTACAAAGAAATTAGCATATAACAGAATTTATTCAATATATCATATCATGTGTGTGTGTTTAATTATTAATTAAAACAGATTAGAAGTTCAGCATTTGCAAGGTCATGGAAATTCTGTAACAGATCTAAAATTCACCCAAAAAGGAAAATTGCTATTATCATGCTCTCAGGATGATACTGCAAGATTATGGAGTATGAATGATGGAAAGATTTTGAATATATATACGTAAGAAAAATAAAAATAAGTAAAACATAATAAATATGAAAATATAATATTATTATTTTAGCGGCCACCAGTATTCGATTTGGTCTTTGGATGTGGCCCCAAATGAACAATATTTCACAACAGGTTCTTTCGATCGAACAGCTAGACTTTGGAGTTTAGAAAGGCAACATCCTATTAGAGTATTTGTTGGTCACAGTCAAAGTGTGCAAGTTAGTTATAAAAACACATTATACTTACTTGAAATATTTCTAGTATCTGAAATATCTATTATCTATTTACTAGTGTGTATCCTTTCATAAAAATGGCAAGTACATTGCAACTGGTTCTCAAGATACTACTGTAAGATTGTTTTCAATCACTGATGCTGGAGTTCTTCGTTTAATGCATGAACCATCTGCTCCAATTTATGCTATTGCTTTTAGCACAGATGGGAAAATGCTAGCTGGTGCTGGTTAGTAGTTTTGTATGAGATTAAATTTTAGGAATACTACATGATACAAAGTTAAACTTTTAAATTTTAATTCCTTATGAAAATTCAATATATAGGTGAGGAAGGAATAATTTATATTTGGGATTTAGCTAAAGGCAGTTGTTTATATAAATTGACCGGTCATACTGGTCCAATTAACAGCATAACATGGAGTAATGATCTAAGTTCCAATAAATTATATACTGGGAGTACACATGGAGAAGTTAAAATGTGGACAAAACAGTTAGTAAAAATTATAAATGTACCTCGTAGAAAAAATATATAGAGATTTAATTGAAATCTAATTTTCAGGAATGAGGTTTGGGATTTTCATGATCTATATGTTGAAGGGAGCTATAAAAGAATTGTAAATGTAGAACTCATATCATCACAAAGTGGTCCACACATTTTTGCCATACCATTTAATTTAAGTCAGTACTAAGTATATTTTTGATAAAATTTGTATTTATATATATATATTCTTAAATAAAATTAAGTGTAATAAGCTTTTATTAATTCTATTAAAAATTAATTCGATAATTTTATGTTTTCTCAACGTTTCAAGCCATTCTGAATCGAATGAGACCAAATTTGTGTGTGTGTGTAAGAGGATTTTTTGCCATAAATCGACGTTTGCTCAAAAACGGCTGAATCGATTTCAAAAATTTAAAAGCCATTCGATGTATCTCAATAAGGACTAGCGGTAACTAACCTCCTGACGACGAACAGCCAAACCGTTTCTTTGTAAACAGCAGAAAAATTAAAAAAATTTCGTCCATGTTTTAGCCCGCAATTCTAAATCGATTTTGAAAATTCAAAAACCGTCTTATAAAACATAGTAAAATATTACGGCCCTACGACAAATAGTTTAATGTTAAAAATTCATCGAATTTTGAGGAAATATAGTCGAAATTTGTGTCAAAAGTTGCTTTTGTGATGTGTTGAGTCAATCATTATCAATTATCAATACATTAAAATTTAAAATAATAAGCTACAATTTTAGGGCATACAAGCATGTGTCTGTGCAATATAAAGATAATTCAAATGTGTCTGTGCAATATTACAGATAATTTAAATGTGTTTGAGAAAATTCTGTTGGAAATCGCAATGTTTCAATCTCAATTTCGGTTGGTCAATTCTCACACATTTGGGGAAGTTCATAAAACGTGCCTTTAGGCTAAATGCCACTCTCAACTAGTTCATTATTTAATTCCTTAATAAAAAATTGAAAATCTAGTGACATGATCTGAGAAAATTTTATTTATATTAGGATGATAGAATATCCAAAAAATAAATGAATATGATTTTTTCTAAAGTGCCATTCTAATATTTTTCAAAAAGCCATTTAAGTGCAAAATAAATTTTGATGTACACTTTTTGTAATATTAACGTATTTTAAATATTTTATTCAGATTTTTAATTTTATGTTAAATTTTAAGTAAGAATGCATGATAAATCAAGTGTACGAAATATTGCACCAAATTATAAAGGTAAGAATTGGTATATATAAATATATATAATATATAATTTAATATCATATGAATTTTAAAGACTATTTTGTTGAAAATGAAACCATGGGCAAAATGGCACAAGACTTTAGACTTTCCGGTAAATTATTGAAATCAAATAGTATTTTATTATTCGATTACGTGATTTTCGAATTAAATTTTTTTTAAATGAAAAACTTAAAATTCAAGCTATCCAGGAAGAGCTGCAGCATGCGGAAAATCGATGTAATTCATTGCGCGGGCAATTGAAACATGCTTGGCAAGCGTACCAACAAGTCAATCATGAAAATGCTCAAACTAACTTCACAGAGGATGCAAAACATTTAGATTCTCGAGAAGCGGAAGCGGAAATCTTACGAAAAATCGTTGAAAAAAGTGGCATAGTTTTAAATAAGGATCTTACAATTAGTGAAAATTGTCTTTTCAATTTACAACATAAATATGATTTTTTTAAAAACCCTGTCGCTAGTAACGTCGTTAAAAAGGTTCGGTTTCTTTAAATTTATACCTATCCTAGCTGGCAATTTCAAATATATAATATATAATCTAATGTTATCTATCATACAGGCAGATACAAATAGAAGTATTCGTGTCGAAGATTGCCAGTTTTTCAAATTTCGCAACTTAGGTGATTACGATATTTCTGAAGACAATGAGGCACTTCAAAGAAAGTTATCAACAATATCTGAAACTTTTGACTCATATTCGTAAGTAATTACTCTGAAATGACTTACGTACAATCAATTTTGAGATACTTATCTAATCATATATCGAAAATATAATTGTAGATCTGATGAAGTCTTATCTCAATGTTCTTTTCGTACAACCGTGTCAAAGAAACAAAAGAACTCAAATGAACTATCTTTATTATGCCCTAAATCAAATGGTATTGGCTTTTATATAACGTAATTAAATATATATAATTATATATATACTTATATATTATTTAGATGAAGATAGAATAAAGGAAGAACAGGATTTACGAGTTGTTTTGAGAGGCATTACCCAAAATGTCAGCC